CCTTTGACCAGCCTGGGTCTGTAAGTTAGTTCACATATTTGAAAGGGATACTGTCATGTGTTTCTACTGAGTTTTTGAAGATGCAAAGCCACAACACACACTTTTCCAAGGTGAATGGGCATTAAAATATTCAACATACCACTATGTTTAAGTAAAAATATCTCCCCCTACAGTCAACTCTCCAGGTGCCTTAAGTATTTCCAACCCTTACTCATCTTTCACAAATTATTTTGGATCTGATTAAACAGGTGCCTAAAATATCATTAAATCATTTAGTCATCTTCATCTGTAAGTCACATAAATTAAATTTGATAAGAAATGCAAGATCTGAAAAGTATGATTAGTCTGAAAAAATGAACCATCACTTTTGGCTTCTGTCATGAATGTGTTTAAGTCTTCAATTTTAACATTATATTCATATAGACCTTTTGGCACAGAATACATGTACAGCCATCTTCCTCCAGTCATTTAACTGGCAGACTAAAAAATGACTATATTTTGCTAACGTAGGAAATGACTTCATCTACCTAGAAGGCTGCCAACTCTTGAGAAATCAAGATTTATATTTAGGTGACAAATTTAGGTTGAGGATTTGTGAACCTCACTATTTTAGAAACAAAATAGTATTAGGGTGGAGATTTGACTCTTTCTTTTTCCCTCTTCTACTGTAAATGCTAATACTAACTTGTTCTTGGTTCCCATATGGACTACTTACACTTTGCATGGTGTTTGTCTGTAACCTCAAATAACTTTTTGGCTCTAGTACTAACTAGACAACCACAACAGTAATAAACCTGGTAGAGTGGGCAGGTCTTGTCTCTGTTTTTCTTGTTAGGTATGTTTATTTTCTGGTATGGTATCTAGAACAAAATACACTCATAATAAATGCTTGTTGAATTGAATTCCTTTTTTTCTCTTTTAGTCCCCTGTACTTCTTTCTTGGACTCATAGATTGGTCTTTCATTTCTGTATATTTCCAGTATTATTTGTGGACTGTAATAAAAAGCAGATCTTTAATATTTTCCATAGTTCTATCAAAAAGACTATAGTGACTTTGAGAGGAAGTTCAAAAATAGATCATGCATTGAGTTTGATTGAACCCAATGAGTGAGGCAACTGTGTCAGGTGAGATTCTTTTTTGGTGTGAATTTTAGAGTACAGTGGGAGCTCTTTATATTTAGAAAAGTAACATGCTATAGTATGACCCTTTAAGCGGGCAATTACCACTTGTGGGTATTCTATATCATATTCCGTGGTGATGACATTACATATACTGCATTCTCTTATAAACTAGGGTAAATATTCTGCTAGTATAGTGAATCATGTAGTTACCATGTTCTATTGTTTTGCTTCTAAGCGTCTATATTCAATGAAGTAAATCTGACATCATCATTGTATACTAAAACTGATACTGTGATCAAAGAAATAATATTTTGACTAGATGTTCATTGACGTGCCTTATTACCATACCTATTGTTTATCCTCATCCTCTTCTCCTTCCTTTCTAGAACCATGAACCATGGTTCAATTCAAGTCTGCCATTGTTCCAAGATGGGCAATGTCAGTATAATTTTCTGTGGCCCCACTCATAATTCCAGTAACTTTATGAACCAAAGTCCCCCTTTCTAGCTACCACTACCTTATGTGTGTTGTTTGCCTTATTAGAATGTAATGTCCTCAAAGACAGGCATTTTTTTTGCTTTTGTATCCATAACCTCAAAACTTAGCACCATGTTTGGCACAAAGCAAGTATTTGATAAAGATTTTTACATTCTTTCATTTCCCTTTTTAAATCAAAATGGCAAATATAAGGGTACTATACATAAACTTCTAAAAGTTTTTTTTCATGGTTGAGGATACTTGAATGAGAGTTAGAAAGGACCTTAGAGGTCACCTAGGTCGATGTCTTCATTTGACAGGTGAGGAAGTTGAGGCCCACAGTGGCTAAATGACTTGTCACAGGGTGTATGTGATGGAACTAATACTTGAACTGAGGTTGTCTTACTCCAAATCCAGTATTCTTTCCTCTGTACCACTCTGCCTCTGAGTTTTACAACACAAATATGGAAAAAAAAAATCTATTTTGAATTTTTTTAGAGGCTGCTATTTAGCTTGGCTTTTTTCAGGCACCTTTGATTTCCTATTACAATTTTTTAGGGGAATCAATCCTCTATTTATTAACATTTTCACATTAGTAAACAAGAGGAGGTCGATTTTGTCCATTTTTGCCAATGGCTAGTAGTTTTGATAAAATGTGTGTTGGGGAAGTAATATGAAATTCTTGGTTAAAATGATGACTTAGGATTATTTCTGGATTTCATTACTCAGTCTATTTATGTTCTCCTAGTACCAAGAATAATTGACTCTAGTAGATGTGAGAGTACAGGATGAAACAGGGTTTCCACTCATCTGTGTTTCATCAACTGCACCCCTGTTGGACAACAATTGGACCTTCAAACAAACTGTGTTTGGAACTGCTGCCCAGAGTCATTAGGGATGTGCCTGAGGGTCTCATCCAGTTGCCATAGAAACCTTCCCCTCCAGTGATATACAGTAAATCCCTAAGCAAGGGTGATGAATCTATGCTGAAAATATAAGAAAGGTGAAGAAATTATAGGAATCCAGGGAGAAAACAATAGAAACTAGTCACAGAGAAGCAGTTACCTATGTATGTGTGTAAATCTGTCTTCTGAAATTATTCATGTTGATACATTTTTTTTCCAAGTTAAGTTCTTTAGGACTATTTATTTGATAATAAACTATTAAAATAGAGACAAATACTCTCATTTTAATACCTATTCTATATCTTTCACTTCAGCTAAATGACTCTGAAATAATTTTATTTGCATTTTTAAGGATTATTCTATTTTCTCAATAGAAATTTGCATCAGGAAGAAATATGAAGTCAAACCAGATAGAGTATTTTTTTTCAATCAAGACAATACTGAGTTATTCAAGAATTCTTCTGACTTTTCCTACCTTCCACATACTTAATGATAGTATTTCAGGCATGATAAATGGGCTAAAAAGAGTGTCACTTTATACTACTAAAGTAATGTCACCAAATGATACAAGAAAAAAAAATGATGCTATTAGAAATAACCATGGAACTGTAAATGCATCCTTTGTTACCAAGTTGTGCTGTTTTAGAACAAAAATTCTATATAGATGACATGAAATAATGGCATTAAAGTGGCTTCTCAATAATAACTTGTGATTTTTTTCTACTCATGATGTTATTTTCCTTGGATATGCCTTTACAAAACTATTTTAAAAATTAATGATGAAATACTGATCAGGGATATGGATGTGTTTCATCAGGAAGGACATGTAAAACATATAGAATCTAGACATGCATACATATAGAAAAAATTAATAAAATTCCTTCATTAGTCATTGAAACATGATTTAGACTATATGTTTCAGGAAAATTTCTACTATTATAATTCACTTATAATGTGACATGATGGATGAAATTGTAAACCTTTTTGCATGAAAACATCAAAATAGCTAAGTTAAAAAGGGAAGCTGTCAATTGTCCATTGGGATTAGGGGGTAGACTTTGCATTAAATATCTCTGATCCAGATATCTGAGATATCCATAAGGAACTATTGTGAACATACTAGACCAAGAGTTACTCTCTAATGGATAAGAAATTAATGGATATACTATCTTTTGTCTTTTCTTTGTAATTCCAGTGCTTAGCATAGTACCTGGTATATCATAAGTATGTAATAAATGCTTATTTGTTGATATGAACAGACGTCACAAAATAACAACTGCAAACTATTATTAGCTATATGAAAACTTGCTGATTTTCAAATCCAAATAATCCATATCACCTTACATTCAGAAAGTTGGCAAAAAATGACAAAAGGTGAAAATAGTAAACTTTAGAGTGGTTGTAGATAAATATCACCAGCACTTAGCATAGTTTCTAACACATACTAAACACCGAATAAGTTGTAAACCACTTACCAATACCTATAAGCAGACCTCGGAATTTGTTCAACAATTTTCTAAAGCAATTTTAAATTATGTAAAAAAAATCTAAAATATCCTTGCCTTTTGACCCAGAAATCATACTGTTGGCATATGTGCCAAGAAGGTCAAAGTTGGAAATAAAATTCCCACATAAACCAAAATATCATAGATGCACTTTTTGGATTAGCAAAGAATTGGAAACAAAGTTAATATTCATAAGTTAGGGAATGGCTCAACAAATTACAGTGCATGAATTTAATAGAACATTAGTATTTTGTAAGAAATGATTAATACAAAGAAACATGGGAAGACTTAGGAACTATTTCAAAGTGAAATGGGCAGAACAAAGAAAATAGTATATACAATGACTACAACAATATAAACAGAAAGAATAACAACAAAAACAAAATTTAGCATTGGTAATTGTAATCAATATTGACACCAAAGAAGAAGGGGGAAAATGTAACTTTTATGTAAAGGTCAAGAATTATTCATTCACATCTTTGCATATACTCTTAGACTCATTTGATGTGTTAGTTAGTTTTGCTGAACTTCTCTTCTGTGCCTCTCCCATCCTCCATTTTTTTTAATGAGAGGGAGGCAGTGCTATATTTGGAAATGAAGGTGATATAGAATATATAAAAATGAAATACATTAATAGTAGTTTTTTATTAATTATAGCACAATAGATACATTGTCTTTCAATATTTTACTTTCATTTAGATGTTTATAGTCATGACTTTTCTAGCATTTGTATCTTTAAACACATATACCATATTATATATGAATACATATACCAAGAGATTTGATGGTATCGTATTACTTTTTTTACTTATAAATTTATGTTAACCTTTTATCTTTTTTGGGTTCTGATAGTTTCTGATTGCAATAATTTTTTCCAATCACATCACCCACCAAACTAAAACTAACAAAAACAGAGCTATGTTTTTTTGAAAGCCTGTTCATTCCTTGTGTGTTTTTTCTGATTTACAATATAGCACTTTTTTCCCCCTAGCAATAAGGATGGGATCCTCTTTGAACTGCACAACATAGACAATAAATCTCCTCTCAACAACTTCAGGTAAGCAATAGAATATATCTTCTACTGTAGAACCACAGCAGATATGCTCAAGATGGCTACTTTGGATCATCTTGAAAAGTACAGTGTAAATCATCCTGCTTTCTAAGATTCATCTACAGAGATTTTACTTCTATTTACAGCAAACAAAAAACAGGATTTGGAAGAGTAGCATTTTATTTTCCTGAAAGTTTCTGAGTACCATCTCTATCATAAGATCTTTTATTTCAGGCAATTTCATAATTCACATGGCAGAAAAATTTTAGATTTGGGGTATTTTTATGATACCCTCACAATATTGTAGCATTTGGAGAAAAGTACTTACAAATGTCCTTGAGTACAAAATGGAAATTTATTAAAGTTATACCATTTCAATAATAAAAACACTATCCATAGTATTTCCTTACAAAGCCCATTAATAAAGATGCAGATTCCACTATGCATTCTTTGAGCTAGTACTACCTAGTTTATATTGTTAGGAGCTATTTTGTGTATTTGTAGTATAGCTCCTTCACAGATACTCTTCCATTCAACAATATTAACAATAATCTGCAATGTTTCATACCACTAGCAATCAGTGTTCAAGACATCTATATTATTGGAATAAATAAATTTTGGGACCTTGTTAGCATATTCCCCATGGTGTCTTATGAGGAACTGGGAATTTGCAAGGAAGTGTCAGTGTCATTCTTTATATTTCCAGCCATTGAACCAATTTGACTAAAAGTTATAAATAAACTTTTTGCTCTGAGGTAGAAATGGATTGGGGCTAGTGTGAAATGGTTGAAGAGTTTGAGCAACTAATCAAATAAGGCACCTTTAAATCAGCATAGGTGTGCTTGGTAGTGTCAGGCTAATTTTGATGGCATGAGAGCTTAAAGGCATGACTTTGAAAAGACTATAAATGTTCTATAATTATGGCACATAAGCAAAGGCCAAAATCAAGTTTGACCTTGTCCAACTCTATCAAATGGTTTTGTTTTTGTTTTGCATAGGTATCTAGCATTAGATAGATAGTATGTCTTTTAGCTTACAATTAATTTTTATGTTGTAAAATACTATAAAGCCTAATACCATGGGGCTAAAGATATAGAAATAATAGGCCCTTCTTCAGAGATGGTGAAAATAAAATAAAAATTTGCCCTAGGGACTTCTGGATCTAATGAGAAGATCAATTATAAATGTAAGGAAAAGGCAACCCCTTATTCCATGTATCTACCAAAGGCAGGTGATGATGATGCTTTTGTCTCAGTTTTGTACTCATGACTTAATTATGTATTGTTGTGTTATTCATGAAGATATCTAAAATAGACCCAGGAATAGGGAGGAATAGTGTATTCAATATCTACATGGAAAATGATTCTCCATAAACATAATCTTGTCAAGGACAATTGATATAAAGTAGGACATTCTTCAAGGAGACAGTTTAAAATAATTACATTTCTGCTTAGCCTTAAATCTGTTACCATCTCTTCAAAATAAAACTAAACAAATTTGAAGCTTCTGTGTTTGGCATAGTGCCTGGTACATAGATGCATACAAACCAAACTGTTTGCTACTATTACCTGGTCATAACATTGATCCACTAAAACAACAACAACAATCTAACAATATTTTTAGAGATATCATTTTTTCCAAATAATCACAATCTTCAGTCTACATGGAGCAAAAAGACTTTCAAAATACAGAAATGTCATAGGGGAAGATCAAAATCATTTACAGGTTGTGAGCACTTAGAAGAAGTTGGTGATCATTTTAAGCCATTGTGAGTTAGTCTGACTTCATAGTGCCACCTGTATAGCAATATGGCATTTGACAAACTAATAATATTCTTATGAATAAGTTTAAGATATGTGAACCAAGTGGTTGAAGTTAGGTGGACTAAGATATAATGAATGATTGGATACAAAAGAAAAAAAAAGAATGGTTCATTATCAACCTGGGCTAGAGCAAGTTCTCTGTCAGTATGAAAATGAAGATGAAGCCTTATTTCTGGATGAAGACATCGAAGCCTTTTTTTGAATCAAATTTGAAAATGATCTGAAGTTTGGAAGCTATGTTAGCAAAAATGCTGACATGTTGGATGACAATTATAATTAAAAAAAACTTGAGAAACTAGAATGATCAGCCATATTTAATAAGATAAAATATAATGGAAATAAATATAAAGTCCTATGCTTAGATTTAAAAGAAAAATAAACATTTCAAGTACAGAATGGGGGAAACATGGATAGATAATAGTTTAAGTGAAAATGACCTGGTAGGTCTAATGGTCTGTAAGTATACTATAATTAAACAGTAAGATGTAACTACCAAAAAGTTATCAATTTTGTGCTTTATTAATAAAAACAGAGTATTTAGAATGGCAATAATTTTAACATGAAAGAAATACTTAATCTTAGGATTGCATCAAAAGGTATAATGCTGAAAATTAGAGTGTTGGAAATCCTTGTCTAATCTACCTTGGCCAGATGTCTTCTGGAGTACTTTTTCCACCCAGTTGTGGGCACCACATTTTAATAATGACATTGATAAACAGTCACTTATCCAAAGGAGGAAGGGTAGCATGGGGAGGGAAGTGGAAACCATGCCATCATGATGAGGATCAGTTGAAAGAATATGAGATGTTTGGCCTGGTAAGTAAAAGACTCTGAGTGAGGGTGGGAGGATTATAGCTGTCTTCAAGTTTTTTAAAGTGCTATTTTGTTGATTATTCATAGTATATTCCCAGAAATTAGAACCAAGAATAATTGCTAAAAATTGTAGTGGCAGATTTCAGCTTGATATTAAAAAATGTATCCATTTGGAGGTAGTGAGTTTCCTGTGAATGGAGTTTTCAACCACGGGCTGGATGTTCAGGTATCAGGGATTTTATATAAGGGTTTCCTGTTAAAATACTATTTGGCTCAAATCATTTTCTTATTCCTTTCTACCTCTAAGATGATATGCTTCTCTTATACTAGGCTACTCAGGATAATCTGCCAAAATTATTCAACTCACAATGAGAAGTGATCCAGAAGCCTGGGTCAAGCATTTTTTTAAATGTATTTTCACTTTCATTGATAAATGTTGTTTTAAGTACTATCAACATAATCAAATGTGGTACCAAAAAAAAAAGACAGTACAGGTAAGAATAATAACCCAAAAGCAGAAAGATAATGAATCATGCCTTCTACATTTTGTCAGAATGAGGTTTTGAGTTTGTGGGAAGATATTAGAGATCCAAAATTGAAAAAAAAAGAACCTTCAATAAAATACTTGAAAATACGCAAAATAATTTCAGAAGGGGTCACAAAATGGATAACTTTGCTACTATTATTAAATTTAATATAACAATTGCTAATATTTGTATAGCTCCTACTGTATGCTATGCCTGTGAAATGCCCCAGGAATACAAATAAAGGTAAAAGATAGTTACTGCCTCCAAGGAGCTCACAACTTAATGAGTGAGACAAGTAAATAGTTGTCTACAAATAAATTATGTAAAGGATAAATTGGATATAATCACTGAGAGAAGAAACTAGAATTAAGAGAGACTGGCAAAGGCTTCTTTTAGAATGTGAGATTGTAGCTGAACCTTGAAGAGAACCAGAAAGTGGAGATGAGGAGAGAAAACATTCCGTGCATTAGTTAAAACCAATGAAAATTCACAGAGACAGGAGAGAGAATGTCTTGTTTGAGGAAAAGCAGAGGTCAGTGTAATTATATCTCAGAAATTGGAGGAGAAGGGACAGTGTGAGGTATATGAAGACTAGAAAGGTGGAGATAGGGGTGCTTTGGGTTAGTTATGAAAGGTTTAGACTATAAATACAGGCTTTTATATTTCAGCCTAGAGGTTATACGGAGCCATTAGAGTTTATTGAGTAGGGTAAGGGACATGGTCAATTCTATGCTTTAGGAAAATCATTTTGACTGTTAGATGGACTGGAATGGGGAGAGATTTGTGTCAGGGAGACCAGCCATCAAACTATAGCAGTAGCACTGACATGAGTTGATAAAGGCCTACGCCAAGATAGTTGCAGTGTCAGAGGAGAGAAAGGGGCATATTTAAGAGATGTTGCAAAGGAAAAATTGATAGGCTTTGGTGTTAGACTGTATGTATTGCAAAGTTGCAGATGATACCTAGGTTGTGAACCTGGATAACTGGGGGGATGGTGGAACACTCATGAAGTTAGAAAGAAAGGAGAATTTTATGGGAAAGATAATGAGTTTGGGTTTTGGCTTATTAAGTTTAAGATGTCTATGGGCCATCCAGTTCAAGATGTACAATAAGCATTTGGAGATGTGAGACTGGAAAAATGATTTGGCCTGGCTAAATAGATCTGAAAATCATTAGCATAGAGATAATAATTGAATCCATGGGAACTGAGATTACCCAAGTGAAATAGCGGAGAGAGAGAATACAAGGACAAGGATAGAGCTCTGTGGGAAACCCATGGTTAGTAGGAATAAAGTGGATGGAAATCCAGCAAAGGACAGTGAGAAAGAGTGGTCAGATAAGTAGGAGGAAAACCAGGAAGGAGTTGTGTCACAGAAACCTACAGCCACACGATTATGAAGAAGAAAGTGATCAACATTATCCAAAGCTGCAGGAGGCCAAGAAGGTTGAGGATGGAAAAAAGGCTCTTAGATTTGACAATTCAAAATTCTTAATGACTTCCAAAAGAGCAATTTCAATTTAATAATGGGCTGGAAGTCAGACTAAAGAGGTAAGATGAGAGCAGAATTTTGTGATTTTATGTACAATCATGTTTCTATTGCTTTTTGTTTAGTGCAATGTTTATACATGGTGATTTTTAAGTTAAATAAGAAAAATATGAAAAAAAACCTTGAGACAAAAAAATCCTGCTAAACAAAGCCAAAGAGGAAAAGAAAATTATGTAATACTAAAACATCACAGGATCATAGACTTTAGAAATGAAAGAGACCTTCTAAATGACCTAGTCCAGCTCCCTCATTTTTCATAAGGCAACAGTTAAGGCCTAGATAGGACATGAGAGAGT